GAGCTCTTACTCGCCAGACACCTTCACGTCCCTGTGTGACTGTGACTTCTGCACACTAAGGCAGTGACTGGAGGCAGTGCGGTCACCTGGAGCCTGGCGTGACTGCCTCGTCCTCTCTTAGCATCCCTCCTGGTGCTGGTTCGAAAGATAACGGGGTTCAATAGTATGGCTAACCCAGGAGGTGGGAGTAGCCAGAGCCCTGAATTGATGCATGGAGAGCAACTCACTGACACCAGCTAATATAACAATCAGAAGTGGAGTTAAAAGTAGGCAGAAATGATGGGGGAGTACATGTAACTGTTTTGTCCAAGTTCCTACATTTTAAGTGAAATGGGAGAAGATTAAGTAGGTAATATTCTGATAATTTAAGGATGCAGTTTATAATCATGAAAGCAATTTAAAAATACTTAAAAACATTCAGTTAACCAAAAGAAGATAGGAAAGGAGAATTAAAGAACAAACAATAAATGGGATAAAACAGAAAGCCAATTGGAACACAGTAGGAGCAAAACCAGCTACACCAATAATCATGTTAAATGTAAATTATCACTCCACTGATAAAGAAAATATTGTCAAAATAATTAAAAACAAGACTCACTCAAGAGCGTTTGCAAGATGTGCACACTAAATATAAAGAGGAAAACTGAGTGTGAATAAAACAAAGGGAAAAGGCACACCACGAAAACCACAAGCATATGAAATTTTAAGTGGCTTTTTAAGATCTGACAAAAAAGCTCAGGGAAGGAGAATTACCACAGATGAAAAGGGAACTTTTATAATGATTAAGTGGAAAGTTTACTATTAAAGGTGTATGTTTCCAATAGTTTAAAATGTATATAGCGAAAATAACAATTATAAGGAGAAATAGATAATTCCACAATGATAAAAGATTTTTATATTCTCGCTCAGTAACACAATGATTAAATGAATATAAGACCAGACATACAACTAGGGCTAGCCAACTTTTCCTGTAACGGGTCAGACAGTGTTTTAAGATATTCAGGTCACACAATACTTACACTATGAAAGACAAATTCTAAGCTCATAGGGTGTGCACAGACACACTGCAGGCCAGATATGACCCACAGACTATAGCGTGCTGACCCTCGATACAGATTTGAATAACACTTTCAAATCACCTTTTGAGTTGGGATTTACAAGCAACTGCAGACATGCATTCTTATCAAGGGAATGGCCACCGTCATAGACCACATGCTGGACTATAAAATGGTTCTCAATACAAATACATTGCAAAAGGCTGCACAGAGTATTTCTTGGACCATGATAGCTTTAAAATTATGAATCAGTAATTATAAGATAGAAAAGTCCCCCTAATATTTCAAAATTAAACAACATCCATCTAAAGACCTATAGGTTGAAGTAGACGCTATGGAAAGTAGAAAATACTTAGAATTAAAAGACAAAATGTATCATATCTAAATTGGTAGAAAATAGTTAAATTGATGCTAGGGAAAATTAAATACTGATATGGAAAATAGAAAAAACAAAATTATAAAAATCAGACAAAATGAGAGTACGTGTTGGTTAAAGGACATACAAGAGCTCTTTATGCTATTTGTATCACTTTTCTGCAAGTTAAATCTTTTTAAGAAATTAAAAGCCCCTGCAATGTCTTAATTTTGTACTTAATACCTGTGATGGTCAAAAGTAAAAATAGATGTACAAAAATAAATAAGGAAGTGGACAACCTCTCCTTCCATTCTAAATCACTTTAAAGATCCCCCAAATAGCAAATATGTATGAAAAACTAAAAAATTACTAATGCTTACATAGGCAAACAAGAATTTTATGTAACTACAATTGATAATTTTAAGACAACAGTGGGTAAAACCAAGCTTGAACAGTGACTCTATAAATACAAAGTGCCTAAATCTGAAAAGCAGAAATTAATGCATTAAATAATTTTAGAATCCTAAGTTAACTGTTATGCTTTGTGTCTAGATGTCCCCTAAAGCCTCATGCAGTCATGGGGCAGCTTCTGGAGTTTGTGATTCTAGATCCAGTGCTGGGATTATGGGTGTGAGTGCTACACTCAACCTGGGGCAGATAATCAGCATGCAAATGTAAGGAGGGGAAAGAGGCTAGGTAGCTGCTGCAGCTGCTGCTCCTTCTTTTGCTCACTGCTATTTTCTGCTGCCATGAACTGCTGCCCTCTGCCATGTGCCACTCTGCCTTGGAGCCAGCCTAGCATGAACTGAAACCTCCAATAGCTGTGAGCTAAATAAACTTTTCATCCTTAATTTTGGGTGTCAGGTGTTTTGTCTCAGCAACAAGAAAATAGTTACTGAGACAGAATTGGTACCAGGAGTGGGGCTGTTGATGTGACTATAAGCCTGACCATGTAGATTATAAGCCTTTGGGAATGGCTTGTGGGAAGAAATAGGAAGGGTTCAGAGATATCGCCTATAAGAGAAGCACTGGAACACCTTTGGCTATTCTGTATGGAATATCCTGGTCAGAGCTCAGAAGACCAGAAGGCTGACAGAAATCCTGCCTTTAAAGACCAGGCTGGGGAGGTTTCTGCTGGGAAGAAGGACTGCATTGGTTGTTAGACTCCAGACAATATGTGTTATGACTTGGTGGAAAGTTTGTTTGCATTTTGCTCCTGTCCAGATATTTTATCTGAGATTGATTAATCATGGCAGACCGATTAATCTCACAAAAAATATTTCAAGGTAGCTGAATGTTGAGGCAGTGGCATGGCTATTGTTGGGGGCTTTTAGTTATATTTATGTTGAAAATCAAGAGCAAAGAACCCAACAGGATGATTTAAAATGTGAGTTTGGCCAGAAAGCTGTGGACTGCAAACATAGAGCTGAGGGGATCTCCCTTGCTGAGAAGGAACAAAAGAATGGAAATAATGGCTTCAGGACAACACAGGAGGCAGCAGGTCTCCACCTTTTGCAGCCTCAGAATTACAAGGGTGCGGTACTTTGCTTTGAAGAGAAAGCTGCAGAGCACCATGTTCCAGAATGGTAGCAGCATAGAGAATTTGTTCCTCAGAACCAGGTTCAGAGTGTTCAGAAATCTAGGCACACAAACCCTATAGTCAAGAGAGAATAAAACCTGGCTACTGCTCCTGCTGGCAGCAAACTGTGGCATCATCCATGTGGCAGTGGTTTTAGGTACATGCAAATGCAAGAGTTACAAGGTTAAAAAGGTTCCACATAGATTTCAGAAGAAGACCTGGGAGGCCAGGCAGTGTGCTCCTGGAGGGCAGTGTATGAAGCTTTGAGTGAGAAGCCTACAGTGCAGTGGAAAGCCCAGAAGTTTGGAAAAGCCAGGAATGAGGCAAGCTGCAAGGAGGAAGCAAAGCCACACAGCTACACAAGCTACAACCAGCAGAAGTGCCAAAGAGGTGGAGCCACATAGAGCTCACAACTTGCCACAAATTGCTTCAGATGTTCCACATGTAGCTATCGGACTTAATGTTTACCCTTCTGGATTTTGGACTTGCTTTGGTCCCAGTGTTTCGTATCCTGATGTGTGTACCTTTTGGAATGATATTTATCTTGTGCCATTGAACGTTGGATGTGTTTAACTTTTCATTTATACAGAGCCTCACAGCTAAGAGTTTACCTTAGATCTTGGAGAGACTTGGGACTTGAACTCTTCAGCAGTGCTGAAACCGTTATGACTTTGGCAACTCTTAGAGATAGACTAAAATGCCTTTTGCACAAGGGATGTGCATGAGTCTTTGGGGGTCAGGAGCAGAATGTTAAGGTTTGTTTCTAGTTGTTCCCCCAAAGCCCCATGCAGTCCCTTGGACAGTTTCTAGAGTATGTGATTAATTCCTGGTCCAAGGCAGGGACTATGGGTGTGAGTGCTATCCCCGCCACTGGGGTGGGTAATCTGCATTACAATCTAAGGAAGGGAGAGAGACTAGCTGGCAGGTGCAGCTTCTGCCATCCCTTTTGCCTTTCCTCTTTGCTGTCTTCTGCTACCATGAAAGGCTGCCCTCTGCCATGTGCCACTCTGCCTAGGAAGCAGCTGGGTATGGACTGTTACCCCCACTGACTATGAACCAAATAAACTTTTCCTTCCTTAATGTTGGGTGTTGAGTATTTTGTCCCAGCAAGGAGAGAAAAGTAACTGAGATATTAACTAAAGAAGAGGTTTAAGGAGAGTAGGGTATCTCCTTTTCTTTGCTGGCCGATCTCAAGGAACACACTGGAAAGGTGTGTCCCTGTACACTAGTGGCTTTCCCTTTGCTTGCACATTGGAATCACCAGAGGAGCTTTAGAAGATACTCTAGATTCAGATTTAGTCAGTCAGAAATGAGGTCTGACCATCAGATCCGTGTTTGGCACTGGATATACAGTTTAGACAGGAGGGAAATAAGTTTCCTTATAAAGCTTATTAGTGAAAAGTAACTAAGGCGTTTGGCTCTAGTACAGAAATTTGGCTTGGAGCTCAAGGAACAGCAGAGAATACAAAAACATATCCCAGTAAATTGATACTTCAAATTTGTCTGTTAGTTAGTGATTTAATAAATGAACCATTAGAAGAAAACACCATGTAGGAAAATAGCCATCCTCTCATTACAAAATAAGTTCTAAATGGACTGAAGAATTAAATCAAACATGGAGATAAAGAAAAAGGAAAATGATACAGGCAGGTATTATTATGATAGGTTTAAGTCTGGACAAAAATGCCACAAAGGTGAAATGATAAAGCAAACAGAATCTAAAATGCTAAATAAAAATGTTAAACCTATTGCTACCAAAACACATTATCTAGTTAGCAAAACCACTAAAAGTGAGAATATCTACAGTGTCCATAGAAACACAAAGCTCCTAAAAATGAATATAAGATATTGTAATAGGCAAACAGTAAAAGGATTTAAGTATGTACCACTATTATAACACCCAATAAATCAACTGTTATTTAAAGAGCCTCATAAGAAAGCTGTTAAAAAATAATGACTAATAGGTAACCTAAGAGTTGTGGCTTCTGCTGTTCCTAAACATCGTACTTACTGGTTGATATGCGCTCCTGACTGCTTTCGATTTTCTCCTGCTCTGATTTTGCAGCTGCCTTCCTGCTACCATGTATGGTGGTCGAAGAGAGGTTTTCCAGTTTCCAGTTGGCCCAAAAGCCTTTCTGAGGTTTTAGTCCTGTTAACATAAAATCTACATTTAGTTGGAGAAATCAGGATTTTGAAAGTATCTTTTAATTTTCAAAACACTTTGTTTGACATATATTACCTTTCTAACAAAAAAGTGTGTTTTTGTTACCTTTAGCCTAAGTAAGAGTAGGTAAATCATTTAATCACTCTAAAAATCTGAACTCTTGGCCTTAAAACAAGAATTATGTAAATTCTTTTGAGTTCTTCAGACTTCATTCAAATAAATGCTAAAGTGCTCAGTAAATAGGAAAGAACTGGAGAAATGAGCTAGCATTGGCATCATCAGTACTTCGCATTGGTGGACTCCTAAATGAAACCAGTATTTTCTCAATGATCCATGTTTATTGAGCTAGTATTGTTATCATCAGTTTTGCTATGCACTGAAATACTCATAACTGAAGCCAGTATTTCCTCAGTGATCAGTGTTTATTGAGGCTGATTTGACAGATTTCACTACTGAATTAGAATTTCCCAGCTATTTTTAGATACAGCTGCCACCTCTGTAGCATCAGCTGCCACTAGATCAAATTTTCAGAGGACTTCAGTTGAATTCACTTGAGTGTGCCTACAATAGCCTATATTTAAAATACAGAGTACTTACAGGAAATCTGATGTGTGGCAAGGCCAACACATTAGCAGGTTGTCATTGGGGTGTGCTACTCCACAGGAGGTGTACAGGGAGCCCCTGTGCCAGCCAGGAGGCAAGGGAACAGGGCAAAGATATGGGCAGCAGACTTCCCTGTTTTCCTTGGGAACTTTTTTTTTGGGTGGGGGACTGGGGATCAAACTCAGGACTTTGTGCTTGCAGGCAGGCACTGATGTGCTGAGCTATCTCCCCAGTCCCAGGAACATATTCTTTTAAATTCTGTAGTAAAAGAACTATAATTAAAGGGTAGAAAAACTCAAATATATCTATCTATCTATCTATCTATCTATCTATCTATCTATCTATCTCTATCTATCTATCTATCTATCTATCTATCTATCAGTGTCCACAGCACAGGCCTTTATGGAGTGACCAGAGAGACAGAGAGGGAGCCCAGGAAGTGTGGTGGCTCTAGGCTCCAGGGCATAGGCTGGCTCACTGTGGCAGCTGTGATGCATGAGGTGTGGGCATCGCAGGGCCGCAACAGCGCTAAGCCCTATAACGCAGCTCTGCGCAGAGACAGCAGTTCCAACATCTGATGCACATGTGACTTTCCTGGGCCGGCACAACTGGGACTCTTCCTTGAAGCAGGTGTACAACAGGACCTTCCTCTTCAGCAGATCCACACAGCAATGACTGCCGGTTAAATCCACTGTGGAACCAACAGCAGAGTCCTCTGTAGAGCAGGCGACTGAGGCCTCTGCTCATGAACGCTAAGGCTCAGTTCCTCTGGGGGCTACAGGGCGTCGGCGGCTGCTGTGAGGCCTCTGACATCCTCCACAGCAAAGACTGTCAGGGTCCTTTCTGGAGCAGGCCACAGGAGACTGCCGTGGAACCTGCCACATGCCTGGTCTTGAGCGCCTCCACCTCATTTATTCCTGGCCATCTCCAGAGAGTTCTCACTTGCTAATCTCTCAGTGATCTTTTCTTTGTGGTTATTTTATTTTTTGCTCCACTGTGTTGCTGTGGGTTCCTAATTGAATTTTTGAGCCCACGCTAGGTATGTTTTCACTCACGGTTGGCTAATTGTTCTCCTTGGTGGCGGTGGCAGCAGGGGATGATGGCTATCTCCTACTCTGCCATCTTGCTCACATCGTGTCTCATCCCTTCCTTTGGAGGGACACCATTCATACTCACTCATGTGACCTCACTCCTTAACCATGATTATTTCTTTAAAGGTCTCATCATCAAATGAGGTCACATTAGAAGGTATAATAGGTGACAGGATTTCACATATAAATTTGGAGGGAAACACAACTCAGTGCATAACTGACACATCTGAAAATTTTCTGCTCTTCACAGCAGCTTACAATATTTATCTTCCACATGTAACATATATTCCTGCATATATATTGATTTTAATTCTGTGACAACCCAGTGTTCTATAGTTTCACTGCTTATAAAATTATTTGGCTTCTACAATTAGTAACTAACCAACTTTGATAACAATTTTTAGAATAAGTATTTTTTAAAAAACATAGACATGGATATGTCTGTATCAGTGTATAAAAATTATCAATAGTTTGAAGAAGGTAAATGAAATACTACAATTCCATAGCTTTAGAAACCAAAATATTTAGTATTTAAATACTATATTCATACCTGACAACCAAAGGAAAATATTATTTCCAAGATCTTCTTTAAATTGGTCATTAAACAGGTGATCAGATTCTGGAAATGCTTCCAGGAATGTTGCATAGATAGCTTGTGTCAAACAATCAGGATACACCTACCAAACGGAGCCAGATCAATTTCTATTCTGTATAGCATAACTATCTAAGAAATTATTACTTTGTAAATGTATGTATTTCTAATAGTTTTCATTTAACCATTTTATTATTCTTTGTTATTGCGAGGGGCATGAATAAAGACGAGTTGAAGCTCAGGTCAATATGATTACTGGCATTTTGTGAAAAAACTTAATATGCAAGAAGACAAAGTGACAATTAAGATAGCTTTTTAAAAGATAGTTTGATGATTTCATTTAACCTGTTACTATTAGCCTCATTAAGAAAATGATATATGAGTCAAAAATGTTATAAATAACAAGAGCTTATGTAGTTGGGTTTACATATTGTGATCAGCATGGTTTAAATACTAAAGTCATAATCAGATATCACCAAATAAATGGCACTCCCTTTATCTCACAAGCTTTCAAATTTCTAAACAAGTTCATCTCAGGAGGGACTAAACAATAAATGGATATCATATTTTTACATTAAAGACAAATTTAGGGCCAGCCAAATAGCTCAGTGGATTAAAATGCCTGCAAGCAGGCGCAGGGGCCAGGGTTCAATC